TCTCTGGGGGAGTGGGTAAGAGGGCGTCGTGGAGGGTGGTCACTGAGGGCCCTTGGTTATCCAATCTCTGTACTCCCAAAGCGAGAGCTGTGTCCGGGTCCTCGGCAGTAAGTCGGACCCATTTCCGGTGAGGGTTGGCCTCCGCCAGGGCTGCGCTTTGTCACCAATCCTGTTTGTAATATACATGGATCGGATTTCGAGGCGTAGTCGTGGGGGAGGGGGTCTGCAGTTCGGTGGACTAAGGATTGCACCACTGCTTTTTGCAGATGATGTGGTTCTAATGGCTTCATCGGTCTGCGACCTTCAGCACTCACTGGATCGGTTCGCAACCGAGTGTGAAGCGGCTGGGATGAGGATCAGCACCTCCAAATCTGAGGCCATGGTTCTCAGCAGGAAACCGATGGACTGTCCACTCCAAGTAGGGAATGAGTCCTTACCCCAAGTGAAGGAGTTCAAGTATCTCGGGGTCTTGTTCTCGACTGAGGGAACAATGGAGCGTGAGATGGGTTGGAGAATCAGAGCAGCGGGAGCGGCACTGCAGTCGCTTTACCGCACCGTTGTGACGAAAAGGGAGCTGAGCCAGAAGGCAAAGCTCTCTGTCTACCGCGCCATTTTCGTTCCTACCCTCACCTATGGTCATGAAGGATGGGTCATGACCGAAAGAACGAGATCGCGGGTACAAGCGGCCGAGATGGGTTTTCTCCGCAGGGTGGCTGGTGTCTCCCTTAGAGATAAGGTGAGAAGTTAATTCATCCAGGAGGGACTCGGAGTTGAACCGCTCCTCCTTCGCGTCGAAAGGAGCCAGTTGAGGTGGTTCGGGCACCTAGTTAGGATGCCACCTGGGCGCCTCCCTAGGGAGGTGTTCCAGGCACGTCCAGCTGGGAAGAGACCAAGGGGTAGACCTAGAACCAGATGGAGGGATTATATCTCTTCGCTGGCCTGGGAGCGCCTTGGGATCCCCCAGTCAGAGCTGGTTGATGTGGCCAGGGAAAGGAAAGTTTGGGGCTCTCTGCTGGAACTGCTACCTCCGCGACCCGACCACGGATAAGCGGGAGAAGATGGATGGATGGATGGATGTTGAAAATTGTTGTCACTTCATGCCCTCAAGAGGCATTTTGTTTAATTATTTTGCTTAATTGTTTTTTATCTTTCAAGCTACAAGATGTTTTCCTACGTTGTCATGAGAAATTATGTCTCAGGAATGTAGGTGTTTGGGGAATTAATGGCAGTTTAAAAGAAAATATGAAGGCAAAATTAAATCTGTCCTCCACTCTAGCTGTGACATCACGCACTCTAAAATCTGAAGAAGGCCTCTTTACCAAGGTCTGAATTTTTTTTAATTTCTTTAAAAGTAAGAATCAGATTTAAAGTTGTGTTACACTAATAATTTCAGACAGATGTGTGACATTTTATAGTTGGAATGAGGTTTCTGAGTGAAAGTATGAAGGAGCAGTTAGCAGTTGAAGAAGGAGCAGTTGAAGCAGTTGAAGTTGCATGAAGATTGTTAAAGTCTGAACAGTTCTCCATTGACTTCCATGTTAAAAATGGGATGTATCATGGGATGTATCTCTGGAGGAATTATGAGAGTTATGAATGATAAAAGTAATAGCCATTGATTCCCGACCGAGCTGAACGTTTTGATGTTTGAACGGAGTTTCTGCGATGTTCAATGTGGGAGGAGAAGCAGCGCAAAATAACCAGGCGGAATAATAAATAATTTCGTGCGTAGCATAACAGATAGTTGGAATGCTGTGTCAGCATTCCCACTAAATTATAGATAACGTGTTGCTCTTTGTGGAATACAGATCCTTTGTTGGGGCTGCTTGGGCTAGTTTACATGTCATCATGCATGCATCAGTGCTGTCATTGTGTGTTGACTAAGACTGCAGTGCTCATATAGAGAAACAAATATTAAACGATATACGATTACGGCAGGCTCTTTGCATACAGCATGATAAGGCGATAATGACTAAAGCACCATTATGGAAGCACTTTCCAGGATGTGCTTTATGATCATGCAAAACAGACAGCGGCTAAAGATGACTGTTCAACAGGTTGCTGGTGTGTGAACAGCTACAGAAACATGCACATCGGCAGAAATGTGCCGTCTCAAAGAAGTGCCTCAGAAGTCAATTTATTGGAGTCTGACTCATATTTGACTGCATGTGCACTGTGATCTGATGATAGTGCCATGAAAAGTCAGGGGATCTTCAAAGGAATTATAATTAATCTTAAGCGGACAAGGAGACTATCACCTTGCAAGGGTGAAGATTCCCATAGTTGTATTTTATTAAGGAAGCCATTGTTCATTGTGCACACATTTATACAGGAAATATTTTTTTTTACAGTTCATTAATCTATAGCCTTCACTTACAGCTTTTCACCAAGCGAGATCATCAAAGATTCAGGTTTATTTGGCCATTGTATTAATGGCTATAAAATATGTTGACAATAGTATCCACATCTGCATCTAAGATACAAGCAGCCTTTTTTAACTTACAAATATGCAGGAGATCTGGGAATGAACTAAGCTTTTAAATCTATGAGGTACAAGTTATATACCAGTTATGAGAAAAATCACAAATAATTGCACATGGCACATAGTTACATGCATTTTAACACCTTATTACTGAACATCAAACAGTAAAGGAAAGTGTGGAAAATCTTTCAGGGAGCATTAACTAAATAAGCATACACTAAATGAAAAGCATTAAAGATAAATGCATAATCTGCAATATACTGGAAATATAATTGATTCAGATGCCGTCTGGGTTGACTACGCAGGACCCTTAGCAGCATCAAACATCTTCTTCCTTCCCTCCATCCCTGACATGGCCTCCACATTCTTCCTCCAGTCGCTGTCCTCTACTGGCCTCTTCTGTAGACATATTACATTAGATTGTTAGAGACTGTGAGTTAGAGCAGGGTCAGGAAATCTTCTCATCATTGTTGTGTCTAAGCCTTTGAGGCCTATGTTGTCACCTGGAAATCCCCTGAGATTACTGTGGTAGTATAACTGGTTTACATCACCTAATTCACTCAGAGACACACATATCCATGCAGGCACACACACAGAAAAACACCAGCACTGGGTAATCTGCACAAGTACACACACACACCCTGATCATGGAGCAGAACTGTTCCCAGAAGCTACTCTTCTGTGCACAATGGCATCATTGTCTTGTGTACCGTACCTCCTCTCACACATGGTTGCCGCCCTGCACTGGCCTACTGCTCCGTATCTCAAACACACCCTTTACACACACATGAACACACTTTTAAGGTGTTCAATGGCACTTTCTGTGCTGACATCATGTGTATCAGAAACAGTAAGATGCCTTGTATGCTTGCCCAAAGAATGGTACACATGTTGATTGCACTGGTTGGCTTGTTTGTGCCTGCATGAGTGTGTTTGGTCTTTAGTTTCCCTCTGCACACACCTTTTCAGTGTCCTCTTTCTTCACAGATTTGAGGTTGGCCCGGAGGTCCATGGAGACTTTGTGCTTAGAGCCCAGCAGCGAGCGAAGGATGGCGTCAGCAGACACCCGAACACGACGAAGACTAGGTCTCTTGAATTTCCCCCTGAGGTCCAAAACCTTGAGGTTCAGGTCTTTGATCTGAACCAAGAACAAATAGTTGAAAGGTAATTACAATTAGTACTTTAGGATTTTCACATGGTTACAGTTCTGCTGCATTATATGATCTTCCCGTTTCCAGTTTTGCCCAAAGCACATGGAAATGGGCAGAAGAAGTGATGTGTACCTCCCGTTTGTTGAGCGTCACTTTGGCTTCAATGTCGTATCGCTCCTCATCCACCACATCTATTTTGGCATGGAGATCTCTGCAGAGTTCCTGTACTTATACACACATAAAACAACCAACGTTCAAAACATTTTTTATATGAAAGTGGCCACCACCGCAACCAGACAACAGTTTTAGTTGCAGGATATCATCTTTTTTTATGTGTATTGGTGTTTGAAGATCTGTAGAGGAAGCAGCATTGTAAGTGAATCAGTCTTCTTCGGCTTTTACTGGATTTAAATTATGAAGGAGCCAGTGGAGGGAGTAAAGAATGAACATGGATGTGGGGGGATTTGTGGAATTTGCTGACAAGTTACCTGTAGCTGTCCGAGGCTCAGGCCGCTGGTGTTCAGCGGAGGAGCTCTCTCTGACAGATAGTTCTGTTTCTCCTCCTCTTTGACAACAACTTCCTGTTCCAATTCCTCCTTGGCCTTTGCCACCATCAGACTCTGCACAAATAGGAATCAACATACAGTATGGTTCTGTCATACAGGCTCCCCTAACATTTCCCTGCTAAAGCACATCAGCACATCATGTTTTGAAACATTTAGGACTTTCAGCACAGACTCTGGATGTTCAGATTTATTTGTTACATTCAACAATTGAAAATATGACCTCTGCTGCTTCCCTGTGGTCAAACACATGTATTACTTGATCTCTGATCCCTCTTACCTTGAGCATCAACTTCCTTGAAGCGGAGATCTTCGGCTTCCTCTATGGAGGGTATTTCAGGACATTGCAAATTAAAATGTTAAATATTCACTTGCAGCTTAAAATGTAATTAACTGAATTGTTTCTAGTCGTTTTAGCATTCAGAAATACTTAGATAGTTGGTGATACAGCTGGTCTTACCTCTTGCCTGTAAAAGACAATTGGAAAATAATTAAAGTGAAAGTTAAAACCAAAGATTAATCCTTAACCAAGCTCAGAAATATTTGTTTTGTAATTGTGTCTAAAATAAGACCATAAAGCCTGACTACTCACACGTGCTCAGGCATCCTGCTGATGAGATCTCACTGAAGGGGAGACAGATGAGATTAGAACACACACACACACACACACACACACACACACGCACGCACACACACACGCACACGCGCACGCACGCACGCACGCACGCACACGCACACACACTATGTATACATCACTTCATGGGACATTACATTGACTCACATGCATTTCCTGGAGACTTATCCTGACCTTAACCATAACCAACACATTCCTAACCCTTACCCTTCACCTTGCCCTAACCCTAAACCTAACCAAGTCTTCACCCTAAAATTAATGATTCCCCTCATGGGAATGAGATCATTTTCCATTAGCGCTCTGTCTTCATATGAAGTATGTTGAAATGTAAGTAAGCTGTCAGCAGGCTAATCATACTAAACTACACACTGACTTCTACTCTACACTTTATTGTGTGAACTCCCCTTTTCACGTTTCACAAAACTAATTGCTGCATGTTTCAGAACAATTATAGTCACAGTCAGCCAGGGGTTTCTTGTAGAGTTGCATTGGAGAAAGATTGACGAGTAGTTCAGGACTAATTTACTAATTAGAAAAATATATATTACAGTTACAAATTAAAACAAATACATAAATATTGAGTCAACTGTAACACCTGAACACCACATGTTGAGAGTATTTGAACGCTGATTAGAAATCAGGCAAAATTAAACAGTTTGGTTAAAGATAGTAGATGGATAAAATCAATATTTTAAAGTTATTGATGTACATAAGCAAAGAGTGTTGGCTAAAAAGAATACGCTAAAAGTAAGGGTTAAATATTAGGTAAAGATATAAGACACAAGTTTACAAACAATAGGTCCAACCAATGTATCCACTAAACAAGGGAAAAGGTTAAAATAAGGTAAAATGTAGGTTAAATGAAAGAAATAGCAGCAGCACATCCGACCAAAACGATGGGAACTACTAATCCCGGCATCTATCTTAAAGTGTAGTATTAATGCAATAGCTTTACCGCTTCTGATACTTATATCCACCTCAACACAATTTCTTTGTGGTGCGTGAAACATTCGACATACTTGACTAGGATCAAGACTTATTGTCGAACAGTCTTTCAAATTAATTTAGATAGTTTGGCTTGTGAAATATTGTCTACAGAGGGTCAAATATCTTGAGAGGTGGGACACTGCTCCAGCGGATTAGTAAAATTCCAGACTGATAGCCATCCTCATCCATCCCTCCCATCTCTCATCCCCATCTTTCTACTCGGGATTATCTCAGAGAGAGGAATTTAGAGTGGCCTGTCTCCCCAAATAGACCAGAGGACATCTGATGGACAGCTGTGGAGGCTGATTGTGCTTTGGGGTGCCCAGCCCGGATCAGGGATTAACTGCCAGTAACTCGTGGAAGAGCCTCTGTGGTGCAGCCAACTTGGCAATGCAAAGAAAAACACGCCCAAAATGCTCTGGACAATTCTCGTAAGCATCAGATTTGAACAGAGAGTCTACAGATATAAATTGACCTGTTTCTGTTATTTCAATTCATAATTGTTCTGGCTAATGCACTTATTGGTTAGATGCAGCCACAGCCAAAAGGATGAAGACAAGCAACATCAACGTAATAGCAATCTACCAATATCCTTGTTTACTTTATTTGCATGTATTCCTGTTTACTGATCTTCCTGCTAGACTAGACTTCCATTGCATAAACCATACAACGAAACTTGGATAAGTGTTGACATTTTCTACAGGTAAATGGTTGTACCACACATACACTGGCCATCCATTAAGTCTGTGTACCATTCATGCACAGAAGGAACTAAAAGACTTAAAAACACACCTGAAAAGCTTTACAGAATGCACTATGAAAGGAACTTACCTGTGTCAGAAGCGGGAGAGAGAAAGATGCGACGGCAGCAGAGGCAGAACTCAGATAAGAGATGAAGCCAAGGATTTGGTGTCGCTCTATTTAACTGCACCCCTCATTGTCACACTCTCTCTTTCTCTTTTGTTAGTGGAGGCTATAATTAGTAAACCCCATCTCTCTTACTGTCTAATCTTGCTCTTTCCATTTGTCTCTCACAGATTCATTGTTAACCCGGGCCCAGCAGTTACAGCCTGGAGATTTGACCTTTGCACGACACAGAGTGATGAAGCCCACTCAGATCAGGAGCTAAAGGTAGACGTTTTAATGACAAAGACTGTCTGAGCGGAATTGACACTGAATAAGGTCGGGCAAAAAGCGTACACAATCAGGATTTCAATTAGAGGCTTTAGAAGAAAGTGACCCCTGTGCTATGGAATATTAGGTGTCGTTTTTGTTGTTATACAGTACTTTTAGCCACAGTAGCGGCTTTATGAATATTAACTTTGGTCTGCTGGTTCACCGAATTTGTGCTTTCTGTAATATCTCCACAGCTATTTCAAGTAGTGCCATTACATTTTGTACAGACATTCTAATCCACATTACTTTTTCCACTGGCCCCAACATATTTTTGTTGTTTAGTAAAATGCCTTGGCATCTATTTGTGGATTGGCATTGAAGTTTGCACAGACATTCATGATTCCCAGACGATTAATCACAAAAATGTGATGATAACATGACTTTGGCTCTAGCACCATGGTGATGTTGTTTTTTCTGGTTTTGAGTAAAATGCCTTTACCCCCGCAGGATGAATTCTTATACCATTTAAGATCCCCTGATAATCAGATTACATTTTGACTTTGTCCAAAACTTTGGTGTATAAATAAATACCTACAATATTAAAGACACTCCCATCAGCCTCAGCTGTTCACATTGTGGCGCTAATTAGCAAATGTTAGCGCACTAACACATTAAACTAAGATGGCCAATATGGCAAATATACTGCCTGCTAAACATGAGCATGTTAACATTGTTATGTGAGCATGTCAGCACGTGCACATTAGCATTTAGCTGCTGCATTGCTGGGCCCTAGTGCAGCCTCCCAGAGCTGCTGGCATGGCTGTTGACTCTAAACCTCGAAGGACAGATCAAAATGCTAGACATGCTTGCAGGGAGGCCCTTAGCAACATTTGCCTGATGTTGACAGACTCTCTTGACAGACAAAATGAAACTTCAGTGCAACGTCTGTAACCCAAATGGAACCAAAAGGGTAGCTGCATCACGGAGGTTCAAAATACAAAAAACGGGGTCCCTGGCAGGTGAAAGCAACTGAATTTCAGTTTTTTTGTTTTCTGATTTTGTAAAACGTGTATTTACGAGCGTTATGCTTGTGTAGGCCGACATAGAGGTAGAACAGACCAAACTAAATGCTCATGATTTATCTAAAAGTCAAATTCACAAATTAAATCAAATTGAATGTTAAATCATAATTTGACTAACCCTAGATTTTGATATTTCAATGCCATTATGGTGGATTTATTCATTTGTTTGGGTTTTTAGTTCAAGGGCGTAGCCTATGGCCACTTTGTGATGTTTACTTTTTTTTCCTACTTCAATTGTGCTACACATGTCATGATAGCTTTCCGTGTTTTAGTGTGGGGCAGTGAACAATTTCCATATTCTCATTGTTAATTGTAATTTGTTGTGCCAATACAATGTGGCCACTCGAAAAAAACATAAACTGTTGGATTTGTTGCATCTAAGAGACACACAGATCAGGGTCCAACAAAGTCCAATAACCTTATAAGAAAAGAAAAAGGAAGATGCATTTCACACTGTGTTATGGTATGTACGTAAGGTTTATACAGTATCTTGTAAAGTATGTGTCAGTGGATTGAAGGGAATACAACTTAAAGTTTAACATACAAACATATTAGATACACATGACAGAAAATATCAATAAAAAAAGCAGCGGCCTGCACATGAGACACACACACAAACCCAATCAACAGTGTGTAGAACGATTTTTTTCTCTTGGCAGGATAAAGACAGACCTCTAGTGGTTTAACACTCACACAGCAGCTTCATTTGGTAGAGCCTGAGAAAAAACTGGTAAACATTTTTGAAGTTGTATTTTGGGCCTTGTTTAAGAAGTATGCACACACACACCTTCCTCTTTTACAAGGTCTTTTTGACTTAATGTCTCTCCTTTTCCGACTAATACTCATCCAACTCTAGATAAGCTCATGTTCTAGGACTTTGTTTATAAAAATTGCAGGTCAATGTCTGTGTGTTTATCAGCAGAGAAGACCAGACACCTTGGATAAAAAGTTATGATGTTTAGAGAGGGCATTCCACTGAGGAGTGTGAGCACACACTCTGAAGGACTGGACTTTAAGGACACATTGCACATAACCACTACCTCACACTCTTCCATAAATCTCCTTCACATAAAGTAACTCACACACACACAAACAGTTTAGACCAATGATCCATCACTGGGTGTATCCTTGCAGTGCTCCTGGTCCCTTTGCTGACTCATACCGTGTGGCTAGCTCTGGGGTTTTCCACAGTAATGCGAGAAGTCGCTACACAATCGAACCTTTATTCCCGACCTGGACAGAGCCCCAGAGCCACACACAACTCACATACACACTGCTATACGAACAATATATACTAGGCCTCGCTAATGGGAGTCTGCTGATGCTAAATGTTCTGCTGGGTGTGCACATAAGACTTCTGTAGGTGACTACGTATGTGTGGGTGGATGTTTGTGTGCACATGCCTCAGGCTAACTGTGCTTCTCATTAGTCCTCCATACTGTTTTGAACAAAAGGTGTCCTGATTTCAGCACACACACAAGACAGCACTGTCCCAGAATGTGCGTTTGTGTCTGGGGATGTTTGGTTTTTTCCAGAGGCTTTAACAGCAAGGTTACACCACAACTGGAAACAGATGAGCTTAGCAATTAATGTTGTGGACCTCAAATAAATTGCGGCTGACTGTTTAGCTCTTGTAATGTTCTTGTGTAGAGAACTGAAGCATTGTTTAAAAATAGAAAGACTTCAGGATTACAGACACAAATGTATTTAATCTTTTTAAGATTGTATGGTAATACTGTACATGGCTTCAGCAAATATATAGAATACAATGTGCAATGAATATGAGCAAAATATTTGTACTTCATGTTCAACTTAAGAAATAGCATGCAGATCTGTTCAGTCTATAACAAACAGTTTCAAAGCCAGTAACTCAGCGATATGTTTCTATCGAAAGCAACACTGAAAAAATAAAGTGACTCCTTTTTCAACAACGTTGGAAAACATTGGCAAATGATGTCCAAAATGGAAGATATTTGGAAACATCAAGGCACAAGGGCAAAAAGTGTCCCAGCTACACAGTTTCTGTCTTTCATCTTTTCCTTAGGCAGGACCTCAGTCAATGAGGTTTTTTCAATGCTTACAATATATCAGATTCCTAGGCTTTGTAAGACAGCGTGAATAAGCACATTTAAGAAGACTAGAAGAGTGTCTGTGACGGCGGTTCCTGGTCCTTTAATCCACATTGACTGATGGCAGTATTGTACATCCCATCATGCCTTTCACCACAGGATCAATCAGATGGATCTTGTATTCTCGACCATTCTCAACGCTGATTGGTTCACTACCATGACGTAGAAAGGCTGGAGGAAAAGAGAAAAGTGTATTTTAATATTTAATTCTAACTTTATATATCTGACATAGGGGCAGCAGCTGATGGTGTTCTTCAAAGAGCATTTGTAATGAGTTATGTTGCACTGTTACCACGGCTACTGAGTTAATTTGGGCACTTGACTACTGCAGCTCTCTTAAGAAAGCATCGCTGTGGATTCCTGGACTGTGAGCTCATAGTTCAGACTTACACACTCAGTTCATGAACATTTTATATTTTCAGTCACTAGTTTCAGTAAATAACGCTGTTGTCATGTCATGGCACTCCCTGTGTATGCGGAAAAGCTGGAAAAAAATGTATTGGGTGCTAACCTCTGATCGCCCCATGTCCATTTGTTTTAGGTTAGTTACAAACAAACAAGAGAAGGCAGTTAATGTGTGTATGTGTGGGTGCATGTGTGTGTGTTTAAAAATACTTGGCTGCCTAGTGAGGGAGAGGCAGGCAGATGTTATTTTGGAGGCTCAGATTGCATCGTTATTATGTCCTGAAGTGAGAGTGGGTTTGTGTCCTAAGACGACTGTGGTGCAGTATGGCTGTTGACCATAGTAAGGAAAAACCGACACGTCTTCAAAGCTGCAGTGGAACATATAAACACTAAAGTGGTACTTGTAAATAACCTTTAGCTTAGGGCTTGAGTGCTGCTCTGCCATGTGGCACCTCATTACCCAAGAGTGGGGGTGTTTTCATTCCATTCAATCACTGCACCACCTTGTTTGTTTCTAGCACCCCTTCAATCACAGGATGGAAAACATATTGGTGATGTCAGCGGCTGCACTGAAAGGGGACTTTTTGGGGGTTATGGTGGCAAATTGGTAAACACTGTATTTTGTGCAGTGTATCTTGTTGTGTTTAGGTGATACTTTGATTTGTTTATTTTTTACTGCCAATCTCAGTGACACAACGTTGATGAACCTAAGGCAATTCCGATTTTGGAGATTGTGGTGCCCAACCCCCCCAAAAAGACAATCCTTTATTATAGTGTAATGAATAGAATAACCAATTATTGGCTACGTTTGATTATATCACCACCCGATTAAGGCTTACCGTTACCAGCTCAGAGCTCCTCATCCTCCCCAGTGCTGCCCAGGTGTGCTGTGGACAGGTGCCTGTTCCTCCCTGTCTGCACGGCCTGCAGGTTCTTATAGCGCACCAGAGCCAAAGCGATCTCCGCGTTCCACGCCGTGCCCTCCTGAGGACATCGAAAGTCTATCTCCTTCCCTGTGGCCATGACCACGGTGAAATACACCAGCCCTCGTTTGTACTCCACGCAGTCTACCGTGGCCATGCGCTCAAAGCGGAGTTCCTTGGCTCTGGAGCTCCAGGCCGAGCTACGAGCATCCCCACCTCCGCCGCCGCCTCCTCTGCAGTTGTGCAGCCGCAGCCCTTCCTCGGTGAGCACACAGCGCTTCTTCTTCCACAGCTGGAGGAGCCCGCTGCTGCGCTTCTCCAGCAGCCCGTCTCGCATCACTTTGGCCGGGAGCGACATGGCCACACTGAGGCGAAGTCTTCAGACAGAGCCGGAACACAGTAGCCTGCTCAGGAGTGATGCGGCTCAAGATTTACCCACATACACATCCGTTATTTTGTCGGTGTCAGGTGTCCCCCAGGAAAACGTATCGGTTTTAGCTACGACATTAATATTAATAGCCAATACAGTTTCTCTTATAGTCCGCGTATAAATACAATCCAAGCCCCACTGACAACTCTTCATTGAGGTTGGTAGGCTGGTCTGCCTGGATATGTTTGAACATGCCCGGCTCCACTGTGGACCTTCCCCGCCTCCTCGTGGTGACGGCAGGACGAGATCCTGTGTGTGTGTGTGTGTGTGTGTGTGTGTGTGTGTGTGTGTGCGCGCGCGCGTGCGTGTGTGTCCAGTTTAGGCTCAAAGAGAACTGCTGCACTCCTGTCAGTACTTAGAAATACATGATTTGCTTCACATTTATGATACTATTTATATTTATCATTCCAAGTTCCAAATAGTGTTTATGATGAGCGGATTTATCATGTGTCTCTTTTAGAGCTGGAATGTGAGTGGGAGGTTTAAGATGTCAGATGTTGTAATATGTGAGTGCGTGAGAAAGAAACAAAACTTTAGAAAGACATTTATTTGAGCAGATACAGAATGAGACAAATGGATGACGAATCAGCCAATTATTAATCTTTTTTTTAAAAGTTAGTTTAGTGTACTGTAGGCCTACTTGCAACAAACTGTTGAAAATATTCCAGTTCTGGTATATTTTGTATGTTTTATACATTGCAAACTTTTACACATCCTAAAATAATGGTAGGTGTGTGAAACCAACCACAGCAAACTGAATGTGATTATTACATTTAAATTGACCTAGTGTAGAAACTGGTTACATTTTTCACAACAAACGTGAAAGCCCTGCTGATTCCTCTAAGGTTTCACTGCACTGTTCTCCTACAAGACAAAGCTTAATCAGCTCACCTAATAACATTTTTGTCATTCTTGACAATGACATCCTTTACGATAACTGGGCCTCAAATATGACAAGTGAGCCTTGTGGGTGGAGTCCAGCTCAAATTCCTCTAAACTTTATAGATACTGGACTCTTCCCATGAAGTGTCACTGCATGTTATGAGAGGAATGGATACAATGAACATGTGACATTTAGTGAAACTTGACAAGGCTCAAATAAATACTTTAAATAGAAATAAAGATAAAATAGCTTTTTTTTGGTAAGAAATTTCAACTGATGTGGTTGGCTCAAACTTTACCTGTATGTTTGTACCTGTGTAACTTTGCTTTGTGTCAAACTGTGTGCTGATGCTTTGTTACAGCAAGTCTCTTTACAGTGTGAGTCAGACTGGTGTGTGTGTGTGGTTGAGGCCACACCTGTCCTCAGAGCCCAGTTAGTGTTTAGCACTCTGACCTTTATACAGTCTATGACTGACCCAGGATTGACACACACACACACACACACACACACACACACACACACACACACACACACACATTTTGGGCCCCATGAAAAGACATCACATTGGGCCCCACCACCAGGCACAGGCCACGCCAACCAATCACAATTGCTTCAACCACACCTCCAGAACCCAACCTACTCATTTATGCTTTAAATAACTCTACCTGTACAGGCTTGCATCTATCTAGTAGTCCAATACTAACTGCACAATATGTACTGACACTGAGCTGTGAAAATATAACACTGTGCAGACGTGCAACATTCTGCTGCAGTAGAATTCACTATTTGATATAAGACTAACATTCCTGACAATAGATATCAATAGTCATCTTTTATGGTGTAAATGCCTTTTTAATAATAACATTTTTGAATGGAACATTCTCAACATGAATGCAGAAATCCAAATAAATATAACTTAAATATACATGACCTCTTAAATTAAAATAAAGTGAACATTAACACAAATATTATCATTTATAAAATGCTATAACAAAAAAAATAACATAAGCAGCAGATTTTTTCATTAAATATACATTACCAACTACAAAATAAGCGGGTATTAAAGTGTAAATGGACAACAAAACGGAAAAGTAAATGAAAAGGCCTGATGGTGGTGCTAAATCAGAGCCTATTACCTGTTCTCAGTCTTTTTTCATCAAGCATCTTGTGTGTAGTGATCCAATATTGTTACCATAGCCTTGCCCTTTAACAGTTATTACGAGCCCTTGCTCAGCCTTACTCACCAAGAGCCCAGCGCCTAGCCTTCTTACAGTAGTAATCAGCACCGAACCGCTTCAACATGTGTATTGCGGTTTATTCACAGCATTCATGTTGTTATTCTACAGTATTGTTGTTTTATAGTTATTTGTTTATGTATATATCCCAATTTGTGTACTTTGAAGTTGAAAAGGATAATTTGCATTGTGTTTATTACTTTCGTTGCAGTTGTATATGTGGGTACCACATTTATCTGTGCTACTGCTAAGTCTAATAATGGCTAATTAGCTTACTTCGTCTTCTTCATCAGCCAGCATCCTTGGTATCTGTTGCTCACTGAGTTGATTCTCGCTACGAAGCCAATATAAGACTTGTCTTGATGTATAGCACTGGTTTATAAATGGTTCTTAATGATTAATAAAGTGTTTACAACCTAATTCATAACCTAATTATAAACCCTTTTGTTTCATTCTTGCCCCTCAGAATGGACGGTTGAAGCTTAGGTTATGAATTAGGTTGTAAACACTTTATTAATCATTAAGAACCATTNAAATCAGGACAGCAGAAAGCTTACACATCTTCCGGCGCAGACTGAAAACTCATCTCTTTCGACTCCACTTCGAGCGATAGAATTACTAACAAGGAATTGCTAACAAAGCACTTACTAATAAAGGACTGGCTTATCTAAAGCCAGTTGAGTAGCACTTGAAATGTTTTGGCTCTGAAACCTGATGTACTTATATTATTCTGATTTCTTCAAGTTTGTATCTTCCTGGTCGAATGTACTTATTGTAAGTCGCTTTGGATAAAAGCGTCAGCTAAATGCAATGCAATGTAATGTAATGTAAAAAGTGTAGTTCCACTAAATTACAGGCCTTCAAACCAAGAATATATGTATGCCTTGAAAGGAAATACATGTTATTTTAGTTACAGATTCTTGCTGGTTTCTACCACTGTAATCAAACAAATTAAAAGTAAGCTATATCTCTCTGAAACAAAAAATAGCTGTAATAACAATGTGTTTGTGTTTGTGTATGCATTATTAAAGGATGCCATTAGGAGGAGGAAACAAGTGTGGCCGCTGCCATAAGACAGTGTACTTTGCAGAAGAGGTACTCTGTGACGGACGAAGCTTCCACAGGTCCTGCTTCCTCTGCAGTGAGTAAACTCTTTGCTGCTTCCTGTCCGTCAACCTGAAACTACCGAACTACAAACACTTGTCATTACAGTACAAGTATTACTGACCTAATGTGAACTGCTCAGCTAATCAGTAAGAACATAAGGGCATGAATACTTGAAACGGCATAAAATAAAAGGCTATACTTCATGGTTGCCCTCAAGCGAAAGTAAAATACACTGTTAAAATGTAGATTATTCTTGTAATTCTTATAAGTATGAACATTTCTCTCTTCTATAAAAGATATCCTCTTGTATACATTTGATCAGTGAGTCCTAAAATAGTTACTCTTTGATTCTCAGAGGCCAAACATTAAAAATAACTCTTCCAGCAACCAGCTACAACAAATTTGCAGCTATAAAGGATTTTTTTTTTTGTATATCGAAATCATATACATGCATCATAACTGTAAAAAGGTATGAGAATTTAAAAAAATGCATTGAAATAGGCTATAAAAGGTCTTTCTCTTCCTCAACTTGAAAAATATGTAGGTTCATAGAGGTCTGAGTGGAGTTATTTGTGTTTCTGTGTTGTAAGCAAACATTCCTGTGATGGAATCTAGATGAGAACATACTTTTTTTTTTTCCATAAAAGGAAACTAGGAATCCTATCAAAACACATGACTGTGCTCCAAGAGGTGGACAAATATGCATTGTGATAATATACATATATATGTGTGTGTGTGTGTGTGTGTGTGTGTGTGTGTGTGTGTGTGTGTGTGTGTGTGTGTGTGTGTGTGTGTGTGTGTGTGTGTGTGTGTGTGTGTGTGTGATTTATCAGTGGTGTGTGGGAAGAACTTGGACAGCACGACTGTAGCTGTTCATATGGATGAAGTCTACTGCAAAGGGTGCTACGGCAAGAAGTATGGACCAAAAGGCTACGGTTATGGCCAGGGAGCAGGGACCCTCAGTATGGACAAGGGAGAGTCTCTAGGCATTACACATGAGGAGTGAGTAACACACCGACACACATTTCCTCCATCCCTTTAAGGTGCTTTATCCTGTTTTCCCTAACAATCCTGTTTACTTTAGGATTGATTTTAAGGTCCTCCTCCTGACATATAAGGCCCTTAATGGGCAAGGTCCAAGCTATATTATTAACTCCCTTGTAAGCTACAAACCATCAGGAACACTGCGATCCTCTGCTGCTGGTTTATTAGAAGTTCCCAGAAACAGCGGTAAAAATAAGTTTGGTGAGGCAGCTTTCATTAACTACGGAACAAATACCTATGGACATCAGGGAAGCCAGTTCGGTGGAAGTTTAAAAAAATAAACTCAAAACACATTTGTACAATTTACTGTAAGAAGCAAACTCCGGCTCTCTGCTGCACTTTCTCAATGAATTGCGATACATTTTAACCTGTCAGCCGATTGTGTGTTGAATATGTCTTTTACTGGTAACTGTATTCTGTGTGATATCAATTGTCTGTGAAATGTCTATGTGAAGAACTTTGAACTGCACTTATTGTATGAAAGGTGCTATATAAATAAAGATTATTATTATTATTATTATTATTATTATTTATAAACAAGTTTTCTCTCTCTCTCTACGTCAGACCTGCTCCCCATCGTCCAACCAGCAACCCAAACCCGTCTAAACTGGCTCAGAAGTTCGGGGGGTCGGACAAATGTTCTCGCTGCGGCAAGGCCGTCTACGCTGCGGAGAAAGTGATTGGAGCTGGGAATGTAAGGGAAAACACACACAATCAAATACATGTGTGGACGCTTGCAAAAAAACTTTTAAAATGTATCTTCTATTTATTTACAGTCATGGCATAAGGTTGGATGTTTCACCTGCGCCACGTGCAATAAGAGCCTGGAGTCAACCACACAAGCTGATAAGGACGGGGAAATCTACTGCAAAGGTAAAAACTGACTAATTTAACACAAGACTTTTGCTACATTGCTGGATATTGCATTAAGGATATTACTTGCGATAATTAATAGATATGAAAGTGTACTCAGTTGTGCAATACTGCTGCTTTCAGTATTTGGCTAAAATACAACAAATTGCTTGAAGGAAAGTAATCCCAACATAGTGGTATCAAACATATTGAACAAGATTATAGTGATCAAAAAGATGGATGATAACGTTTTAAAGGGCAGTTTTTTACTGACACACTTTTTCAACTACCGTAACTCAATTTTAGTATTGCAGTCTTTTGCAGTGTCTTCATCGCCCAAAATGACATTGTGTTGAGGATAAAAACTTGTATATTGTGCAGCTCTAGGTTTAATACACATCCGTTAAACTGGCTAAACAACATATAAATAAACCAGACCTAATAGAACAGGATTTGCAACATAATGCAACATGCTTGTTTAGATTGAATTCCTGTTTAAGAGGCCTACAAGTTGTGGCCCATTAGAAGTCTATTATGTATAGATAGGCCTAGTGATTTTACTGTATGGTAACTGTATAGTCATTTGCTTTCAGACCTGTTTTTAATGCTGGTCCAGAGTTGTGTAGTATAGCAGGACAACCCATCTTGATCCATTCAGGCTGAATTTGTCTGAAAGGATATGATGTATGACTATTATAAAAGCAAGATTGCAAATCCCTGAGATAAGGGGGAAATGATAAGATGCATAACTGAAATGTCCCATCTAAAATGAGAGAAAATAAACTGCAATGTTTTGTACTGTAAGTGGCCAGAGAGTAGGTTGTAATGCATACAAGAAAACAGCAGAGGGCCCCCTAAACATAATTAAATCCTCAAGTACAGTACACAACGATACAGTACAATTTTCAGGATTAAGAAATGAGTGATGATGGCTGTACTCCATTAAGGTGAGCAAGTGCTAAGGTTTAGTATCATTAATGCTGGCTCACTCACTGGTATCAGTACCACTTGTGCTTTTCATGCTGTGATGAGTCAAAATGTCTGTTTACAAGAACCCTCAAACACTCTCCTGTCCATGAGGATAGAAGAATAAGTTGTTGTATTCTTTTTATACATATCCGCTTTTACTTTTGAATTTTCAATCAAGAGCCAACAGAGCGGAAATAATGGATTTCATCTCTATTTTTGCAAACATTTTATAATTCAGGAAAGAAAGAAGACATTTGAGGATATGATGTTGATACCACCGTGAGAGGGATTTTTTTTTAATTACCTTTTCTTTTCTGCAGCCTGTTATGGCAAACATTTTGGCCCCAAAGGATTTGGCTATGGACAGGGAGCCGGGGCCCTGTCGCACACTCAGTAGAGACCTCAGGATCTTCAGGTTCCCAGAGAGCTGCAGTACTGCCGGCTTCCTGCAGAGAACAGACTGCTGCCACCCAACCTGAAAGACAAATGCTTGATGAAAAGCTGCATCATAAGATTGTACAGTGGGAAACATAACCCCATCTCTGCCTCATAAAGAACAAATACAATCAATAGTGCTGCAACAGTCAATCTTTATAAATAACCAAAGTTTAATACTGAAACATTTATTTTCTATTAAACGCTGATTTCATGATTTGCACTACCTGCTATAACTGTTTTTACGTCTGCAATCTAGATCTCTTTTTCATATTCTATATCATAGAGTAAAAACTGCTTTTCTGTATGCTTTCCAAACAACATCAAAATAAATGAGGTTGAAAGATTTTAATGGCAGGAGTTTTGATTGAATAAAACATAAAAACATGTGAATGAACTGTGTGTGTGTGTGTGTGTGTGTGTGTGTGTGTGTGTGTGTGTGTGTGTGTGTGTGTGTAATAACTCGATACGAGATCAACTCTGTAAACGCACTGCCTGCTGACCAATCAGAGCTCTGTGTGCTGAGTTTAAAGCTATCAAGTTATATTACAGGATAAAGAAAACACAGTTTGAACTGCCGTATGCAGGAAAGAAGGCTAGCAATAAACTGTGACCGTGTAGACATGTAAATTAATAGAATATCACTGCCTATCTCCCGAATTATCTGATTATTATGACATTTGCGGCAAGCAAGATTACTTAAATATCTTCTGCAACATAAGTAAGCGGAGCAAAGCCATTCAGAGCATTGCGTACAGTCAGCACTGTAAGGGCATGATGACGCCGACATGTCACACTTATCATTCAAATCATATCATAATATATCATACTAAAAAACAAACTCTCAAGTGTAATTCAAGCCGGATCCACTCAAGTCTTAAATGAGGCAGTGATATCATAAACCTGTTAATTTACTCATTAGTACAGTTGGTCGTTTTGTTTTACCAACCATTCTTCCTGCACCTTGCAGCTGCAACTATGAGGCCTTTATCCTGGATTAAGTGTTTTAAGTCATGGATGTTTAAAGTTTTAATTCCTGAGATTTTTCTAACATGATAGTTACTATCATTACTCATGATTCTTTAATTCAAGAGGTATACCGTTCTGCTGTCAGTATGCTTCTCCATGTTTGTGATTGGTCAAATATTGCTAACCCCGCCCTTTTCATGTGAACGTGCTCGACTCGTAGCCGGACAGAGAAACTATAGGTTACTTACGTAACCCCAGTTCTCAGAGTAACACGAAGTGAGATGTCTCACTATGGGATGCGCCTCAACGTGTATGCAAACAGAAGCATCAATCTCATTACGCCAATCCTGATTGGCTGGTGATCTTGACGTCTACATCAGGGAATCCACCCACCCTATAAGTAGCTTGCGCTACGACGCAGCGTCATTCAAAATAAGCACCTCTTCTCGCTTCGCCTTAGCAAGAAGGGCCATCTGGTGAGACATCTCACTTCATGTTANTCTGCTGTCCTGATTTCAATGGGGAGCTCATTCCACCATTTTGGAGCCAGGATAGCAAACCGACGTGTTTTTGATGATGGGAACTTGGGTCCCCCTCGCAGTGCTGGTGCAGCGAGCCGTTTGGCCGATGCAGAGCAGAGTGCACGTGCTGGGGTATATATATAATATTAACCATGTACTTTGAATAGAAAAACAAATGTATCAATAAACTAATACATTCCTTTACTCAACCATCAAGTAAACACATTGACAAGAGTTTCTGTTGTAAGAAACCAATTTAAACTTCCAGATTTGGTTGCCTGTAATTTTGGCTTTGTAAAGCCAGCCCAGAGACTCTAGTTTTACTCATGCCAGTTTTCTTTGGCTTTGTTAAGACAAGCAACCCAGCAGTGAAGCAGAACATTCAAGAACAAAATCCTTTTTCCTTGTTGGTTGTCAATAGGCTAGAGGTGATTTCCTTGGAAAACGTTAGACTGTAAGTGTAAAAATAATGTGAAAACGGGAGGTTTTGAGGAGTCTTAGTTGTTGGAATGTGAAAGACCCTGGCATCCTGCCGGTTTCTACCCAATGTGTTTCCAGGCATGACCCTCCCAATCCATTCTAGTGTATCCGCATCCACATTCCTGACCGTGAAAACCCTCCCTCCTCCCGCCCCAGACTCACACCCTCTACTCCCTGCCTGTGTCCGACTCATGACTTCTGCATATTTCTTAATCTAGGTTTTTTCTACATGTCAGGAAATATGTTAAAAAAGCAGCTTTTTCTGTTGAGTTGAGCTCTAAAAGCAGAGTATGATCTAAGGCTATTTCCATCACCCTTAGACACACCCCCTGCATTTACCTGGCACACCAGACTTTCTATCTTTCTTTCCTCAAAAGTAAATACAACACCCCAAAGTCAAACATAACTTCTTTGCTGCTGACACAAGAATGCTTCCTAATGTGAATACAAGCTCATGGTATGATGTTAAATCATAGCTTGGAGAAAAGTATGGGTGGAGCATTGTGTGACTGTCTGCTGCGACACTGTGACTTTCCGTCATTGTAAGCACACAAGAAAAGGTACTGCTGTTTTCTGGGATGTAACTGGAATGGATGGTGACTTTAATCCCTGGTGATGTACGTTCAATATATATATGTACTATTGTTACATAGAACAAATGTAGACTGTTCAATAATAAATAATAAAACCATCAGGATTCTCATTATTGTGCACCTACCATATACAAGTTCTACCACTATTATTAAAATAAGGCCTTTAAAAAAGTAATAAAATATGTTTTATTTTGCTTGATCAATGAGTTTCTGGCTTTTTTATTGAACTATTTTCTTTTGAAATTAAAACTTAAAAATGTGGTCTGAAACTGACTAGCACTACCACAGAAGTCTGAACTGAGTAAGATTCAGGGAAACGATGGTGAAGCAGCAGAAGTATAGGAAATGAAACAAAGAGCAAAATCAAAGGCCTTGATTATTTATGATCTATCAGAGAGAATACATATTAACAGCACCACTGAAGCCAACTCACAAATCAAGTTTATTTGATGTAAAGGTAATGCAGTTCGTATACGACAGTACTGGAAGCAGGACCTGAACTTGTTTTTACTGAAAGTAATAGCAGACATTTCAGGGATATTGTTGTGTCACGCATTGATAGAGCAACAACCGTTTAAAGCCTTCCTGCAGACTAACTAGAACATTTGAGTTGATGTGTTAGGTCAGAAATCTCAAATACATCTCACACTCTTTTGTTGTTTTACAGCAATTGGGAGCAAGACAATCAATGAGGAGCAGAACAAGAGGGAAGGAGCTTGGACACGAGAAGAGTTTTGATGAAGATGTCAGTAAGTAAACAGAAAGATGAGAACAATGAGATGATTTAAACAACTTAGTCAATATTTATTTTGATTTCTACAGATAAGGGCCCTTCTGACTTATGTCACATCATCTCAAAGGGTTAATGTGAGTGACTGGGTTGTCAGTTGTCAATCTGACCTTAGACAGAAAGGCATAGAGAAGTGAAACAAAGTGATAAAGTAATAACAAGCACTCTAACTTCACTAAAAGTTATAAGAGCCATAACCCTGTTTAAAACGAAGGCTCCTTTTGCTGGTCTTTCAGAGGTAAATATCAAGTATTCACTTTGAACATAACTGTTACATTAATTCCAGGTCTCTGCTAAATGATTTAAGGCAGTCTTTTTGAATATGATTCCAGCTACATCTAGATAATTGTGGCTCTGCAAGTTTAGACACAGACAGATTAACAGGAATGCTCAAACAAACCAGAGTGAATGAGAGGTAAGAAGTGGAAACAAAGGAGGAAGTCAGAACATGAGGTCAATGTGACTTCGATGACATACTGTATGTGCGATATGAGAATAACATCAGTAGGATTACTATTTAATTCTATATACATTTCTACACTTTGTGGCCCACACTAGAGAGCTTACATATGTGTGAATACTTTATTTGTCTTGTATTGCACATTAGTGTTCCACATTGTGTTGCTGTTAAGCTGCACACATTGATACAGCTTTACAAACTCTAATGCATGATAGCTGTTCAAACAAAAGAGGCTCCTCTGACCTGACTTGCATGGAAAATACATTCAGATTATGAACGAGTGTTTTTCCCATCATGCAACCGTACAAAGAGCAGGAAATTAGATACAGTTAGAGGCAAGCAGAAAGCAGGAAGCTTAAACAGGCTGAAATATATTTACATTGCTTACCTGCAGTTGTAGGTGCTGTCAGTCAGTGATGATGGACAAGTTGAAGTTTGATTCCTTGAACAGAGAAAGGCAGCACTGGGGTGTGTTCAGGAAACAGGCGATCCAGAGAAAGGTGGAGGAGTTGCACCTTTAAAAGTAGCGTAGTCACTAACCTAGATTTTATGTCTTTATCCCTAAAAAATGCAAAGAGACTCAGACAGAGTTGTTCTTTTGTGCCTCTCCACTTTTCCACTGTTCCAGATGGGCTGAAAGGGAGGAGCTTCTGTGGTTCTGAGCTACTGCTGCAGGCTGCAGACCTACTGCTGCGTGTTGAGCAACAGGGGAGTTTCTGACTGACTGGCCAAGTGTGAGAGAGAGAGAGAGAGAGAGGGCGAGAGAGTGAGAGCGAGAAAGAGAGAGAGACCTTCTAAAAACTGGAGGCAGAACTGACAGTGTCTCACACACACACACACACACACACACACACACACACACACACACACACACACACACACACACACACACACACACACACACACACACACACACACACACACACATATTTTTGGCTATCATCAGCTTTGCCATACTGCCTCAGCTTCAGTTTCTTTGAGATTGACTTTGCCATGTCTTGCTTATCATCACAAATTGTTTACACTATAAACACAGCGTTAATCCTGTTTTCATACTGCTTCATGCAAAACAAGTTGGACTTTGATGATGAAGGCTTTTTTTTTTATTTGCCAGAACGTGACTTATTGACAAATGCCGGTTCAACCGGTTTCAATATAATTAAACCGGTTAAAACTCATAAACAGGACAAAACTTGAAAGAACAAAAAAAGCAGCTCCAGAGTAAACACCTTCCAGCTCTTGATGGAATGTTCTTGTTCTACATGATAAGGTGATGAGCCTTTAACAGATAACCAGTTTAAAAAGTTGAATGGCATCAGCTGTTTTCCCTCTTACTCAGGAGGCAAGCTCAAAGTAATTCCAGCCTTTGTACTTTATCACCACAACCTTAAATGACCTTTGAGAGGTCGCTGGTAAAGGTCCCTCTGATTTGCTTAATGGATGAGAAACCATTAATAGAAATGGATTGAGGAAAGCAGAGATGAGCTTGAGCTCCACAAAGTCACTCTGATTTGCCTCTGCTACCATCGTGTGTTCATT